AGTAAAATATATTGATACCAACTCAACATATTATTTTCGGAAAATAAATTGTATGAAAATAACTAATGATGTACTTCTATAAATTTGTGTGTTAAATGTTTTAATATAATATTTTCTGTTATGGTGAGGGTAGTACAATAAATATCACAAAGAAATAGCCAAGTGAGTGTAAAAAATCGATTTCTATACCTTGTATATTTATTCACTTCAGTGTCAGAACATTTTTAATATGAAAAAAAAAATCATGATACAAAATAAAAATATAATATTATACTTAATTTATTTTTAAAAATAAGTTAAGTTTATCATTCATTTAATTGTTATTTTGTATCTGTGATTTTGTTTTCATATTAAATATTTACTGCTTATTGGAATTTTTCAAAATAATATAATTATAAATAAAATTTATTTTATATTAATTTTATATCATATTATTTTGAAAATTAAAAAAAATATACTTGTTTAGTATCACCATGGACCTCACACTCTCAGAAATATTCAGGGGCGGGAGTTTTTTTTTTTTTTTTGCCAGACTAGCCTTGGCCTGGCTAGCCTAGGCAGGCTTAGCTAGGCCTAGAGATTTCAAAAACTGCATTGGTAGCAAGCCAAATCTTTGACAGAAAAAGGCCATAACAGAAACTCGATTTTACATAAAAGATTTGTTTGTACAATATTTATTTTGATAGGCCTTGGTCTTTTAAAGCTGGGGCTAGACGTTTTGTAGGCGGCCGCTGGTGCAGTAGTATGCCTAGCCTAGGCGGTCTACTGTCTACTACTGAAGTACTAGGCTTAGCTAGGCCAGGCCTAAAACATCTGCCAATTGAAGCTTAGGTTGTAACCTATTATTTGTCTAAGCTTCATAGTAAATTATTATTATAATATCTGAAACATTGTTTATTATCTAAAAAGAACCAAATTAAATATGTTCGCTTTAACTACCGATTGCATCGCCCGTGACTTCCATCAACAAACACATGTGAGCGATTTTTTTTCTGCACACTGCTTATATACACTTAGCTTGTTGCATGCATGCAATGCAAGGTTTAAAAAAATTAATGTTGGTGGCGCACTTCCCATCTTGTGCTCAAGATGAAAAAAATTGAACCGATCGTTTTTCGTCGATTATAGGCATTTTTAGTCGATTTTCATAATTAAAAAATAAATAAATAAATTTAATAAAATTTGTTTTAGTTTTTGTAGATCAGTTTAGTCTAGTTTTAGTTAATACTAGGCTAATTACAAGATATTTTGTATAGATATTTCAACTAGCAATCATTTTTTTTAATTTGCTGGTTTGTGAATTTTTACCTAGCAATTATGACAAAGCTACTAGCAAATTGCTAGTTTGCAAATTTCGAGCCCTGATTCTTTATTATATTTATTATTTATATATATATACATACATATATGCATACATATACATACATATATACATACATATATATATATACACATATATATACATTATATATTATTATATATATAATATATATGTATTCTTTATTATATTATTTATATATATAATATTTGTATTCTTTAATATATTATTTATATATCTATATACATACATATATACAT